GAGGTTGACGAGGAGGAGATTGACGTTACAGACGCCCATTTTCCCAGGATAGGAGTGGCGGTCCGGGCATAGGAGGTAGAGGAGCGCACCAGGGCGAAGGGTGAGTGAGTCTGGCTACTGAACCTATTCGACCATACTGGACCTGAGTGCGAGAGTCGAGAGATGGGCTGTATCGGAGGGAGTAGAGTGATGTTGACCGAGAGTAGGAGAAGAAATGAGGAGTGATTCAGCGGCCTGGTTAGCTTATGTTTTCTCACGAGAGTCCGAATCGTATAGTGTGGGGAAGCTTGTGGGACCCAGAGAGTCGGCGGTTGGTTACGACATACCACTTCCTGTGGCGTTAGAAGAGGCAGGGCGTGTACCGATACGATACTTGGGAACGTTGCTCGCTGAGGGGCTCTTCCTATGGACAGTGATACTACGAGACGAGCGACCCGAGAGGACTCATGATCTAGAAGGGGTCGGACATCTAATAGCGGATAGAACACACGATTTGGAGATAGGGCTAACGCTCGCAGGGGCGAGCAGGAGTTGGTGGAGAAGCGAGTTGTTGGCCAGAGTGATCGTTAATCAGCAATTGGCGAGACTTGCTGGAGGGAGGACGAGTAGGAGCTGCTTGGTATACGGACCACCACATCCGACCCTCTACCCGAAAAAGGATTGGCGATTCGGAGTTCCTACCTTCGTGATAGGGCAGACCTATGGGAGCGTGGACCGTTTGAGGAGAGCAGTGGATCACACACTTTACGCGTCATGGGAGGGCTTAGCGCCCCGCTTCAAGGAAGTCTACTACGCCGTTTGTGTGAGGTGGGGGCCGCCCAGTAGAGAGACACTAGACGACATCATAGATGTTACAAGTTGGGTGGGCTGTCTGAGGCCTAACGATCTGATTAGGTACTGCAGGAGACGGGCAGAGATCGATTACGCGGGGCTAGAAGACGCGAGATTTCTCTTCGAGGTCGCAACTTAGGGAATGCCGGGGAGGACGGCCACGGTGATGCGTGTAGAAGAGCAACTCGTAAGCACATGATACACTGTGACAGTACTTCTCCGAGCGTACGTAGACGAGGACTTGACGGCGAGTAAGTGCAGACAGCGAGCTAGGGATTTGATCCACGAGCGTAGAGCTGATGTACTGGCACGAGTGACCTTCCAAACCTCGATATCCTATGATGTGATGATATGGTCTCATGGTTATATGCGCGCGGAACACTACCACGATGAGACGGTAGCGGAGGCTAGAGCGAGGGTGAGAGGGTGAGCTGGAGAAAGATGTGGACTGAGTATGGAAGAGGAGAGTGAGGCRGTCGGAAGAGTGAGAAAGCGCGTTAAAGAACCACTCTTGAACCAGGTAAAGAAGTTGGGGACAAGTTAAGGGAGATCTGGTCGTGTCAAGACGAGGGCTAGTTGCGTAGGGCTGAACTCGTGACGAGAGAGTTAGAGAGTCTGTTTAGGGAGGAAAGAGAGATTATCCAGGCGTGGAGATCAAATTTTTTGGAGAGGGTAAAGGCTAGAAGCGTATCACGCGAAGAAACAAGTGAGCGATCTGCAGAGAGCGAGACAACGGAAGACAAAGTAACACAGGGAAGTAGCGACAGGACATGAGCGGGACAGCAGTACACACGACGGATCGGTACTCATTGCATGTGGTAGGGAGATTAGACGGACCATTAGTGTTAGTGATCATAAAACTCCAGCTCCATACCAGACTGTGCATAGTTGAGGAGGCAGAGTGTTTCCACTGTGCCCTGCGTGAGGCAAGGGGGACAGGACTTTGGATTGGAATCGAAGGAGGACGGAGGATAAAATGCGTACTCCGAGTAACACCCTTCGAAGAGCGGTCTCGGATAAGGGCATGGTACGAGACGACTAGAGAGGCTGAGAGGTTGAAGATAAGCGAAGCCATGAAAGCTGGAGAGTTAGGGAGAGTTGTAACAGATGGTACAATACTCAGGGTGTTAGCCGCTCACGACCGGCACTGGAAGGAATCGATAAAGACTTTAGAGGCGATAGACGATGGTGGAAATAAGGAGGACTTTGAGACATTTTATGACATATTGCAGCGGTCGGCGATGAGGTTACAAGTGGTTATAGCACTAACTTACCTCAGCTGTTAGACAGATGATCTCGTAGCCGTCTAGGAGATAAGGGAGTGGAAATAGAAATTGGAAGCTCTTGGAAGGATAGTGGAAGCTAGAAAGGTTGATGGGCGACTTTGGATGGCAGTAGAAGGGCCTTTAGCGGGCTAACCAGGACTAGGAGAACTAACAAGGAGGACGGAGAGAGACGCTCGGAGACTCTTGAGGGGCGTTGATCAGGAGACATTGGCTAGGTTTGGGACCCCAATCTGTCTCAAGGATAGAGGTCCTGTCACGGGTGTACTGTAGATCCGGAGAGGCACGACCTTGTTGGCCGATCCCGAAGGAGAGGTTTACTTAGACACAGGGATTCTTGGGATAGAGAGGGAG